AACCCTTACCTCAGCCCTAAACGCTAACCGTTAACCTTAACGGCAACCCTAACCCTAACCGAAATCGTAAAGATAACCGTAAACATTAGACATGACCGTAACTGAAAAACCCAACCGTAATACTGAAGCCTAATCGTACGCTCAATCCGTAACCGTAACCCGAAAATCTAAGCCTAAAGGCATAACCCTAACCCGAAAATCGGAAACCATTAACCGATACCCTAATCCTAGCGTAAAACGGAAGCCAAATGGGTCAGATGCGATCATGGAACTCCATAAGATAGCCACAGTAAACAACCCCCCCCCCCCAGCCACCGGTAATACGGGGCCTGGCTACCAACTGCGATCAAGCCGGCTCTCCATGGCGGTACTCTGGGTTAATGTAAACCGCCCAGAGTAGGGCAGGCAGAATTTACACGCAATTAGTGCTTACGCCAGCATGAGCAATAACTGCAACGAGGAAACTGACAGTTTCTGAGACCCACTGTCCTAGACTGACCCTGGAGGGTCGAAGTGGGACGAGAAAGTGGGGCCTGTTGACGAGACAACAATCCGTGAGGTCGCAACAGCCACTTAGTTTGAAATAATGACCTCGTGGCTGGCGATGCGTCAGTTTTCCACATCTCATTCTGCGGCACTACCTAAGGCATAATGGACAGCACCTCCAAGTCAAGAATATTTATTTTTTTCCGACTTTTAGACCATAAATGCTGTCGGTTCCTGAGGTTGCCTCTTTGCCTCAATTATGTTGCCCGCGATAGCCCATATAAATCCTTTTTCATGGGATGACAGGATGCCTAGGCGTGTTGTAAGGCCAAAAGCCCAAAGCAAGCTTGTCATCTGTAGCGCAATCAGTAAAACGACGATTGCAGGTGTTTTGAAGTAAACAAAGTCTCCAGTGCATGCCATAAGAAATCAGTTTGTAAATGAGGGCATTCTGGGTTAGATATACCCTTCCGTAGGATACAGACAAATGTGCAGTCTTAGGGCAGAGATGATTTAGAAAAGGTGTGTTGGTAGTACCTCTCTAACTAGCGTCGCATGCTACTTTGTTATAGTTTTTAGATATTGGAAGTATTTGTATGCTTGTGCATTGCCGGTAGAAGCGAGCAGACGAATTTCAGGAAACAATTTAGAAGAGGAAAAAGATGCGATCTCTGGAAGAAGAAGTTTAGTGATCTGCTGTTTCAGATTCTCACTCGACCCCACCACCACCATCATCCTCCTCCTCCTCCTCCTCCTCCTCATCATCATCATCATCATCAGCATCACCACCACCACCAATACCACCACTACCACCATTATTATTATCATCATCGCTGATAGAAGCGAACAGGCGAGTTCCAGGTAGCAGTTCAGAAGATGAAGATGCGATCACCGGAACAAGAAATTTATTTGCCTGACGTTTCGGATCCTTACTCGAACCCATCGTCAGAGACATTAACAGACCTTTATCTGCTAATGTCTCTGACGATGGATTCGAGTAAGGATCCGAAACGTCAGGCAAATAAATTTCTTGTTCCGGTGATCGCATCTTCATCTTCTGATTATTATTATTATTATTATCATCAACAACATCATCATCAGAGACGGTAGCAGATAAAGGTAGTAGAGGCACAAAGACTGCAGTATTTATAGTACGTAACTGCCCGGGGGCCATATGCGTACTTTAATTAAAAGCTCTCTCAATCACCGGGTGGTCGTAATTAAGGCGATTATAGCTCTCCGATCAGCGTCCGAGTCGCTAATTGCCGCAATGCCATCATCTGTGTTGGATGTTGACGTGATGATGACTTGGCAACGTGGCCCGCCGTCACCAGGATAGTTGAACGTCCGCTCCTTCCCCACTTGACTGATTCCCCTGTTCAGAGAATGCCTTAGCACTAAATATGGTACCGGGATGTCACTGCGCTTGTTGATGGATTGATGGAATTTGAACTATGATTCGAGAAGCTCGCGGCTCACGCCGTCGTCAGCTCTTGCGAGGATTTCGGGCTTTCGATGCGCGCAAATATGGCGGGGTTCCGTGGAATGAGCTGCTACCCGAGAACCGGCGTCTGTCCTCCTCTCCGCTGCTGCTTGCCCAGCCACCCGCGTTCCTGTCAAATTCACAACCTCCCACGGAAGTTGCCAGAAAGAAGAGGCGAGTTCATGGACCTCATGGTACGGTGAAGGGACGCTCTGAACCCGCGTTTGTTCCCATCATCACACTGGTAGGTGGATATTCCCTCTATAAGCAAAAAATACGTTAGGTCGAGACGACCGAACAGGCCAGGGACGAAACGTTTATATATACGACAGTTCGGCCGTCGTTGTCGACGATGCCCACCGTGTGCTCCATAGCAGGCACGGTTACTCGCGAGTGTATTAGTTTGTAGTGAGAGTAGACTTGCGCTGCACGTACCGCACTCTCATCCTCCCACCTGGATCCGGTGTCAAGGCAGAAACCCGAAAGCGGGAGGTGGCGCAGGTAGATGGCGTGGCCGGACCCGCGCCTAGGCGTGCCATTATGCCCTCTGGCCTACAAAGAACACATGACCGGAATTATAACCCAAAACAACTACGGGTCGGAAGGACGAGGATGACCTGGCAGCCACGTTCGAGACTCGTACAACCAGCGGGGACGTAAGCGCATCTACCGGTAGGGAACGAGGGGTCAGAGAACTGCGTGGGCACACCACAGTGCAAGGGTTATGGTTCGCTGATCATGGCTTAGCAGGTGCTTACATTCCTTAAACCGCATTTATGTGCACGACAGTTAGACCGTCATTTGGGACGATGTCCCCCGTGTGCTCCACAGCCAGGTGAGAGCAGACGCGATGACTTGTGCGTGAATTAGTTTATAGTGATTGTAGACTTGTGAAGCATCCACCGCACTCTCCCCCCCCCCCCACCGGGACGCGGTATCAGGAGAGAGTCAAGAAAGCCGGAGGCTACGGAAAGGCCCAGGTGGATGGCGTGGTTCAGCCCGCACCTTTGCGTTCCACCCAACACCTCCGGTTCACTCAGCAAATGACAACAATCGGGGACAACAGGAGTCCCAGTGTGCGCGACGTCTGATGGCAATGGGGTCTGCCACCGCATCCCGCAATGTCGGCATTTGTTATGGTGTGCAATCCGATAACGCCTGTCAGAATCCGATAAGGCCCCCGTGTTGGTCCAGCGCATCTACCAGGTGGCCCGTTTAGGCGGCAGATTATGTGCACAGATGGCTGAAGAGATACTTGCGTTATGTAACTAATGATAAATATATATGGATTTGCAACGTGGTACTCTAAAAATGCGAGACAACTTTAAGTTCATTTTAATTTAGAGACGACAAATTTTGTGGATATAAAATCGGGACATCGAACTCACTTCCTTTCAGAGACTGCGATTTTACAGAAACAGACGTTATGTCCAGCATGCGAAGTTGCGTGGTTTTTTTTAACCCCTCCCATTTCGACTGTGATTATTTGAAGACCCTTCATCAAAAATCAATGATATTAAAACTGCAAAACTTACAAAACTCTTACGTGCGGGGAAGAGTTGTTTTTCAGTGATTACGAATGAGCACATTTATTGAGTGATGAAATTTACAATTTTCAGAGATAAACACACTCCTCTATGAAAAGACGGTTAGTTTTCGCGATTGACGATGCATTCGGCCCGACTTTCGAACCCTAATGGTAGCACATTCTCAGGAACCACTAAATAATGTTAGCTAGCAAAACAAACAATTGTGTCCCCTAACAGCCCGGAAGTATGATTTCGTCACCTGGCCGTGACAGCGCAACGCGGGAAATTCGGGAGGTAGATAGATTTGTCGGCTTATGGACTTGTCCTGTTTCCAACCCGTGCTAGTATACTTGTGTCCGTGAGGTTGAATCCATGAACTGCCACGGTTGTAACGACCAGGGATGGCCTTTTCTCTCCGCTACGGTTGTACGTTCAGCCATCCTGCTGTTTTGTTCCCAGCCGGCGTCATCGAGAAGGCGCACCCATAACAACTGACAACATTTAGGATGTGGTGGCAAGCCCAGTTG